CCTCGCCCCGACCGCAGAGAGCCCTGGGCGCGCTGGCCACCCTTGGGGCCACCGACCTGCTGGCCCAGGAGCAGGTCCTGCTGTGCGCCCGGCCGCGGCTGCAGGAGCTCAGCGTGGGCAGCCCGGGACCTGTGACCAGCAAGGCCACCAAGGTGGGCAGCAGCCTGAGCCCCGGCCTGCCCCCTGCCCCTGCTTGGGCAGCGGCGGCTCCCCAGTGCCCCCAGCCCTGGCCGGCCTCTGCCCCCGCCCGCCCCAGTCTTCGCTCCCCCTGTGCTGCAGAACCCCGGCCTGGCCTCCGGGCCTGTGCCGGCCGCTCACTGCCTCCCGTCTGCCCCTGTCCAGGTGCTGCGGCACTTCGAGGCCTCGTGTGGACAGCGCCCCCCCGCCCGGAGGCCTGCAGCCAGCCCGGGCCCTGCCGCCTGCGGGAGCCCGTCTGACCTGCTGGCGGCCGCCGTGCCCTTCCTGGGGGGCCCCGCGTCCTTGCAGCCGCAGAGCTCTGCCCTGCTCGCACCCCCTACCCTGCTAGAGGGTGCCCCCCGCCCAGGCCCCCAGGACACCGGGGAGGCCGCGAATCGACTGGCGGGTTCTGGAGACCACAGGGCTGGGCCAGAGCTGGGCCCGGGGGCCGCAGACACCCTAGAGGGCAGCGGCGGCTCCCTGTTTGCCGGCATGGAGCTGGTCTCCTGTCCTCGCCTGCTGGGCACCAGGGCGGCAGCAGAGGGCAGCCCCCCGGACCCCCGGGCCCCCCCGACATCTATGCGGAGGGCCGTGGCCGAAGGGCCTCCTGGCTCGGAGCCATCGGCCTTTGCGTTCTTGAACGTGTGACGGGATGGCCTGTGGCCTGTGGCCCGGCTCGCCGAGGGCCCTGCCCCTGACCGGTGTCTCTGCGAGGCCACCGCGCCCCCTGCCCCGAGGCCTCGGGGGGGGGTCCGAGCATTGGCCTGTCCCAGAGCCCACCCAGTGAGCCCCACACGGGCAGGGTGGGCCCACCGGCCAGCGGCCCTCGCAGGACCAGGACTGAGGGAGTTGAGACAGGTAGCGGGGCCCTGGGCTGGGCGTGGACCTGCCCGCAGCTGCTGCTGTTGCCGTCTGCCTGCTGAGAGGCCAGTGCCGGCCACTTGGACTTCACCGCACACAGCAACAGCCGGCAGGTGGGTGGGAGGTGGGCGAGCTGGCCTGGCCTCCACGTAGGCTGGCGCGTGGCCTCAGCCTGGGGCCTGCTGAGCCGGGGTGGTCAGCGGCATCCCCCACCGGAGGGCACCGCTCCGCACGGCCGCACACCGGCTGCAGTCGCTCCTGTCAGGAGACGCCGTCCCCCGCCCTCCGGCCCGGGGCCCCTCTTGTCACTCCAACCTGAAGCTGATGGGCCTGCTGCCGGGCGCATCCCAGCCCTGCCCGGTGTCCCTTGCAGGCCGAGCTGGCCGCGGGGGCCCTGGGCCAGCTGCAGCATCTGCACTTTGACGCGTAAACTCTCTGCTCCTCGCTTTGTGTCCTGTGAATTCTGTACTTTTATTCGCATGGAATTTGTTAAGATTTATTTTTACGCGTAGGAGAACTGGGGTACTGCAGCGGTGGGGGGTGAGAGCAGGCGGCTCCGCTGGGCCTGCTGCGGGGGGGTGGCAGGCAGAGGGGGTGTCTGCCCCACCCGGGGTCCCTGCCTGGCCGGGGTGGAGTCAGCCTGCCGCCGGCTCCTGGGAGCAGTGATGACCCGCTGGTCACGTAGGGTTTTCATGAAATAAAAGTCAAAGGCAGGTGAGGACCAGGTTCATTTGGAAGGAGGAGCTTGCTGCCACCCAGCGCCAGCCACGGCCTGGGACCGTCTGGGCACAGCTAGCTGCTTGGGGCGTCGGCAGCTGGGCATCACACACACAAAAGGGGGGCCACGCGAGCTGGACAGCCAGCTGCCGCCCCTGAGTCCCCGCTTGGGTCGGCTGTTGCCCTCTCCCTGACCGGCCGGGGGTGGGGGCACCCCCGGAGGGCGCGGGAAGGCGGTGAGGGACAGCACGGCGTGGCGCCCCGACAGCAGGGAACAGGGGACCGTGGAGCTCTGGGGGGCATACGCCACGCCGGCCACCCCAGCCGCACCCTCCCGGCGGGAACTGACCTCTGTCCCCACACCCTCGACCCAGAGTGCGGGCGGTGCCTCCCCGAGCACCAGCGCTCCCAGACCAGCCTCCCCTACGCTGGCCACGCAGCTGGCCCAGGCGTGGGAGGGGCCACGTGGCCGCACGGCTGGACGCCACTTTGGACTGCAGCAGGGCCGTGTGGCGGCTGTGGGCCCAAGCCCTGGAGGAGGCTCCGGCGACGCACCACGCTCTCCCTGCGCTGCCCCAGGAGGGCGCTTAGTGCTGTGCCGTTCTTAACCCCAGGGGTCAGCCTCCAGCTGTCACCACGTGGCCTGAGCCCGCCCGGCCAGGGAGTGACCCCCAGGGCAGCAGACCCTCCTTTCTCTGCTGCCCTACAGCATTGGGTGTTAGTGGGTCCGCCTGTCCTGCTCCCCACCCTCTGGGGTGACCTCACCCCCACCTCTGGCCTGCACCCAGCTCTGTGCCAAAACATTGTAGCGTTTGGTTTAAGGAGCCAGCAGGGTGTGTTGTATGCCCCCAACGGTAAGGCTGGCTTCTGCTGGCCCGGGGTACCGAGGGGCTGGGGGGAGCGTGGGGTCAGGGTTGGGGCTTGCCCTGGACAGGGCAGCCACCACCATGGTCAGCGCCCCCTGACCTGCAGGGCAGGGATTAAACGCGCGGAGCACCCGGTAAGGCACTCAGAAAGAGGGAGCGCGGAGCGCTGGTCACGGCCCTGGGAACGGGGCTTGTGGGGGACAGGGGCCCACGTATCAGAGCAACTGTATCCGAGGGGCCGTGCAAAGGGCCCAACGGTGGTGCGC